ATAGTGAGTACTTTCGAAGGTCTTAAAATGTGATTTTCGCGACGACCAAATTTGGCATGTGGATTTTAACCGGTATTCAGTCGCACAAGGCCCCATAGCCCTATGGGCCGGCCAGAGTCAGTCACGTAAATAATGCGGTCGGCAACATAGGGCTATGATTCCACAGCTATGAGGAACTATGTTACAACTTACCGAGTATAAGAACCATTTGACCACACAGACAATAATAAACATGCAGTGGTTTTGCTTCGTCGTACTCCTCTTTGTCTCTCGTATCCGAGCACACAACACTCCTAGAAATGACTTTCGGCATTTTTTACCTCGAGTAATGTTTTTTCATCTGAATAATAATACTAAAACTGCACACAACAGGAATAAATTACTTTGGAGTTTCGCAGGCGTTGTGTCATCGTCATCAAAACGTGTGTACTAAATAAGGCGTCTTAGCCATTAATAAAGTTACAATATGGCTGCCTTTTTGGATAATTTGATTGGTAATTGTAGATAATTATAAAATCAAAAACTTTACCCTTATTATAATAATAAGGAATAGGCAATTCTTACGCGTGCAATTATCATTGAATTAAGTAAAGTGTTCATTCATATTGACATACTAGTACTAATAGTTCTTTAGTAGTAACTTGGGTGGTCTTGCCATGCCAAGGTTGACGGAAGTCGCCATCTTGGAACAGAAGAGGGGATTCGATTGTTGTCCAAGCTGAATATCTAATCTGTAGAATTAAAATGGATCCCCAGATAATGGACGGACTGGATTTTCCGTTCTGTGACGAGGTAGTAAAATATGAGAAATTGGCTAAGATTGGACAAGGGACATTTGGGTGAGTTTTGAGTAGTAAAGAACTGGGTAAACTCTGTAACAAACACATTCACATTGTTAAAAAACAGCTGGTATAATGACTGTTTGGATCAACATCATAGTTCACTGGTTAATCTAGGCAGTCCCGACAGCGTACTACTGTACTACTTATAAACTGCTGTTAGTGTTACTAAATTGAAAATGGCTGCTCTGAGTCGATCGAACTGTCAGAATCATTATTGACCACTAGGCGAGCATGAACTGTCAGAATCGTTATAGACCAATTAGCGACTGCCACTAAAGTTCAATGCTGCAGCTATCTAATACATTATAATCAAGAATAATCTTACAGTCAGCAAGGCACTTTTCCTAAAACTGAGAATTCACCAGATCGATCGGAGATAAATGTTTGATTAAAGGCCAACAATTTGAAATCCTGTGTGGGTGGCTGAAAAAATTTGCCGAGTGCAATTTTTTTTGTTCATGGTCTCAACTATAGTCTAAAATGTGGCTCAAATATCATAACTTCAAAGTTTCACAAATTATTTTATATTTTCAAGTTCATGTACATAGCCCTGTGTTGCCGACCGCATTATTTACGTGACTGACTCTGACCGGCTCATAATTACAACAACAAAATTAAAAAGAAGACGTCCAAATGAAATTGTTAGGGCGAAATTCGATTGTAGGTCACACCAAAGAGCTACGGAACCGCAGCTACATGTGTACAAGTCAAATCAGGAGATGGCGACAAGAACTCACAAAAAATAGTCAGGTATATAGAGTAACTGTTTATATCTTGTACAATACTCGTTACATCTGTCTTTTCTAGAGAGGTGTTCAAAGCAAAGCATAGAAAGAACAAACAAATTGTGGCATTGAAGAAAGTTCTAATGGAAAATGAGAAGGAAGGGGTGAGTGTACTGCAACTTTACTTGTTAGACCATAGACAGTATAGAAGAAAGCACTTGCAACTGCGGCAAACATCAAAGTCAAACGCTGGATGCCTAACGCAAGCTGGGCTAGAATATTCTAATGAGCAAGAAAACAAAGACGTCATATTTACTTCGATGCGATGTCACTACTTTCGTATCGAACTACAAGTATCTTTTCCTAAACAAGTCATTTTCTTTCCACAATACACATCTTTCGAACACACAATAGTTATCAGTTGTTCTCATGATCGTGGTTCACTAGTAAATATTACTTTTAATATACAGTACTCATTTCGCCCAACCTCCCGCCCGCTTCCGGATTTCGAAGGATTTTTTTTGCTCGCTTTGTTCAATTCGCTCGCACAATTTTCGCTTTTTTTTTGCAAGCGCACTCGCCTGCCGAAAGCACAACTGCTCGCATTAACAGTTCATTAACTATTGTTTCATGTACAAGTGTATTATTTTTTGGTTTTTGACTCCCGTGTGCGAAGCACAAAAGGGAGTCTTTGCAGTTACCCTGTCTGTATGTCTGTATGTATGTACAGTTGTATGTATGTATGTCACTTTTTTTGTTCCACCGTTATCTCAAGAACCACTAATCAAATTTTGGTGAAACTTGGTACATAGATGCTCTGGGATAATGCGCAGAGTTGATTAGGTTTTGTTAAAAATCTATGAATATTAATTACCTAATTTGCATGATAATTAGCTGATTTTTAGCTGTTCCAAGACTGTTCCACTGATATCTGAAGAACCACTCATTGGATTTCAATGAAACTTGGCACATGGATGCTCTGAACTAATGCGCAGATTTGATTAGTTTTGGGTAAAAATCTGCAATATTAATTATCTAATTTACATAATGATTAATCAATTTTCTGCTTTTCCACTGATATCTCAAGTACTAATTATAACATTTCAATAAAA